ATTACTAATTAATATCTTAAACAAATATATATAAGTTACAAATCACGAATGAAATAGATTCAATAGTGAACACACCAGATTCTCTAAAATAACAACAACTTTAACCTGGCACTTTAAAATTCCACACCGTAACGCTTTTATGTAGGCTATTCAAGAACTCTACTATAGTTCTCACACAGCCCGAAAACATAATAAATATTTACATATTCATACAAAAGACTATTTTTGAACTGTAATAATCAAATTTACGTTTCCTCTGAAATATGCAGTTTTGCAATGTTTGCAACAATAACTAGCCATATTAATGGAAAGCTATTCAGTACTAAATACTAAAGCAGTTCAGCATAGTACGAAAAATAGAAATGGTACATTACTAAAAGTAGCTTAAACGAATATATACAAGCTACAAATCACTAACGCAATGAATAATCAAATTCCTTTTTATCAATAACATACTTAAATAAGTAAGTCCTACGTTCAATCAAATATGCACTCGTAATAAAAATAATCTTTAGTTACAAACAATAGATAACATAAGTTGGGACAATAGATGAGCTGATTAATTATGTATCGAAATCGAAATCGAAATCGAGAGAATGGTTAGGCGGCATTTAGTAGCCTCTGCTACTTTAACTGTCCCTGTTGGAGATATACCCTAAGGCGTTGGGAAGAATTAAAAATTAAGGTGATTTACACCGCATCGACAAAGGTGAAGCAGGAACATGTGCTAATGCACGTGAGTTGGTCAAGTAGACTTTGGAGAAGGAGGGTTCAAGCATCTGGCCGCCGTACAAGCTGTGATGTATCTTCACTAGTTGAAGAAAGATAGTGAGCACAGTCCCGACTTACTTTTCCTACAAGAACACAAGCTTGACCCTAAAATATCATTGTGTGTGGCAAATTACTATACCTACAAGTCGCACAGAAGTACTACTGCTCCTCGCCCACGTGGAGGTGGCACTGCACTTCTTGTCAAACGCTGCATTCCCCATTATCACGTGAACATTCCACAGCTCTCAGCCGTAGAGGCCACAGCTATCTGCATCACAACAGACACCAACACTCCATACACTTTTGTCTCCACCTACATTCCTCCCATGAGACCTGTGGCTGTCGTTCAGGCAGACCTTGAAATTCTACTCACACTTGGTACACATGTTATTATTGGTGGAGACTTGAACGCAAGACACCGCGCATGGAACTGCTACACTTCTAATGCAACACGCAGACTGATTTATTCCTTGGCTGCGTCGGAACGGTTTAAATTGGCAGTTCCAAGTACCCCAACACGGTATGCTGCTGGGTCCACCGCAATTATTGATTTTTTCCTGTTGCGGAACACCAGTTCTCCACTGGATATTTCCGTACTGGACGAACTTTCAAGTGATCACAATCCTGTTAGGATTATTCTGGACCTCAGCAGATATACTACATCAGACACCAGGGCCTTTCGTACAGACTGGCAGGTCTTTGCCAAAGCCCTCTCCAACACCCAGTACACTTTACCCACGATACACAAGGGGAGTGACATTGATAGTTTGGTCAAGGACCTCACTGAAAATATACAAAATGCTTATGAGAAAGCACAAGTTGAAGTTAAACCTGGTATGAAACACAAGCCTCAAGAGCTCAGATTATTGATTAAAGAGAGAAATGCTGCAAGACGAGCGTATCAACGTACCAGACACCGTGATGATAAAAGGAACTTCAATCGCCTGTGCGAAGCGGTCAAGTTTCTTACAAATAAACTCTCACAAGATCGCTGGACTAACTACCTCAGATCTCTTTCTGCAGAGGATAACTCCTTGTGGAAAGCAGTGAAGAGGTACAAAAAATGCTATAACGCCATTCCGCCCTTTCACGGCCCTCAACGGATCCATTACACCGGAACTGAGAAAGCAGAACTTTTAGCTCAGCATCTGGAATCTCAGTTCTGCATTAACAACATTTCAGACTCAGACACTGAACAGCTTATTGCTGACTTCCACTCCAATTTTACAACACAGCCATGCACAGACAACATTATCTCAGCCATGCCATCGGAGGTCTGTCTCTATATCATGCGAATTGCGAAAAGGAGAAGAGCCCTGGAGTAGACGGGTCACAAATGAGATGATCAAGCACTTCCCTGTCAAGATAATACTCTACTTCACCAAGTTAGTAAATATCATACTACGATGGCAATACTTCCCAACCTGTTGGAAAACTGCCAAGATTGTCCCTCTGCTAAAACCAAAACAAGCCTGCGACTACTCCTGAGAGTTACCGACCAATCAGTTTGCTAAGCTCAATTAGCAAAATCGTGGAAGCAGTTATTCTCCATAGACTAAACATCTTCCTGGATGAGCAGAAGATCCTCATACCCTATCAGTTTGGGTTCAGGCGTAAGCACTCGACAACGCATCAACTCTACAGAGTTGTTGAGTTAATAAGCAGTGGGATGCAACAACATCGTGTCACTGGTGGACTTTTCTTAGATGTCGCCAAGGCCTTCGATAGAGTATGGCTGGATGCCCTCATATACAAATTACACAACCTGGGACTCCCAGGCTACATCACAAACATAATTAAATCCTACCTAACCGGTAGACACTTTGTCGTTCATGTTTCTGGTTCATTATCCACAAACCGGCCTATACGGGCTGGTGTTCCACAGGGATCCCTTCTGGGCCCTACCCTATTCAATATTTACGTGAACGACATCCCCACTACACACAACACAACACTAGCCATGTATGCAGACGACACAGCGATCCTTACGCAAAGTGCATTTGTTAGTTCAGCAATACAACAGCTACAACACCACATCCACTCGCTAGAGACTTGGCTGACCAAATGGAAAGTCAAAGTGAATGTCGACAAGACACACATGCCATACTGTTTACTACTAAGAAGAATTTCCCGACTCACCTGCAAATCTATGGTGTGGACATTCCCTGGGTCAAGCAGGTCCCTTATCTTGGGGTGATCCTCAGTAAATCTCTTACATGGAACCCACACGTTACACATATTCTCAGGAAGTTTCGAGCTAGTAAAGCTTCACTCTTCCCCTTAATTGCTCGAAACAGTGTTCTATCTATTGATAATAAGTTGCTCATTTACAAAACCATGTTGCGTCCAATTCTTAGTTATGCATGCTCGTGCAAAAGTTTGAGAAGGCAGTTACAAGCTGCCCAAAACGGGGTATTGCGTATGATATGTAATGCCCCCTGGTACATTCGGAATAGCCAAATTCGTAAAGAGTTAAGAATAGAGGATCTTTGTGATTTTTATTGCCGCCTATCTAGGGCATTTTATGATAAACAGGAACTTCTGGACAATCCTGTGGTTGTTAACTATTGTTATGATACTAGGGACCCCAATTTCAGTAAACGCCCAAGGGCGATCCTAAATGTTAGTAATATGTAATTTTGTATATGTGTTATGCAAATTGTTGCTCAGATTCTTTATTGTATATTGTTCTTTTTTTCCTCCTGATTGCATTTTGTTTTTTACTAGTGGCACTAAGGCGTCGCACTTCGTATTTTGTTTCTCTTGTGTGTACATGTATTCTTCTGTGAAATAGTTGTTAAAAAATAGTTAATTATGTATGGATTAGTAATTAGGTACTTAAGGAAAAAAATGTATTTAACAATTATGAATTTAAACTCTTGCTCATTTAATTATTTAGCACATTCAGTTATATTTCTCATAATTCGAAACTTTTATCATGTTATTCGATGAGGGGTAGGGCTATGGCGCCCAGGCACCCTGGTGGTTAAGCACCGCAGTTCAATGTTTTTGAAAAAGATGATAGTGAGCCAGTCCGGGTGGTCCCCCCAATATGACCCGGCTTGCGCTGTAAAGGGACGGTGTTAAAAATGAAAAAATGTAACATAAATTCCTCAAAGCTCAAGCTGGTTTTACTCTTCCTTCGAAATCTCATCAGTGTCATGGCTGCCTTGAACCCGGCAGTAAACTTCTCAGCCGTGGTTTTAGAAATTTTTTGATTTTAGGATCTTGGATCCAGTTTATGACATCTTTGTACTCTGTGGGTGGGTTTTCCAATTTTTCTTTACTTTATGACTGTAGAGAGGTTTCATCTGGGTTTTACTGCTGTCTTCCTCTGTTTCGATGAATTTCGGAAAATCTGCCGGCGTAGGGATCTTAGCCGCTGGCTTCGCCTGCTGCTTCTTTGCTTCATATCGCTTCTTGTACACGGGGCAACCCCTATATGGAACTTACATGCGGTAGTGAGCAGAAGAATGCACTTAGGATTTTTCTTCAGGCTTTAGATGGGCCTTCCTTACTCCCATGGTTGCTGTCCACACTTGCAGCATCGCTCAGTTAATTACGTAACTAACTATCATTAGCTATACATAACAACAATTCGGGGTTACTGCTGAAAGGAAAAGGTTAGTTATTATATATATAGGTTATTCTCATTTCATTAATAATTTTAAGTTCTTACTTATTGCTCTTAAAATATTACGGAATTAAAATTTTACTCTGCGAGCCTTTTGTTCTGCAAATAAATATATGGCATCGTTATAATTAACTTCATGTGCTGTTTGATTTTCGATTGCCAGAACTGCGTGACTTGATAAACGCTCCTGGTTCATCGATGACCTCAGATAGTTTTTATTAAGTTTTAATTTGCTAAAACTTCGCTTATTTGCGGATGTAGTTGGAAGCATAAAGTAAATCTGCAGAGCAATGCAAATATTGTAAAAGACATCCTGAAAATTATAGGCGTAGATCTGTCGCAAGAGGTAAGCCTTTTTTATGTCGACGAATAACATCGAGGCTTGTTTAAAAATGGCAAGTTCCTGGCAGAACTCAAATGCGTTTAGATCTCGCTCATGTTTTCGTGCAAAATCTGCTCCATTCTTTTGCAATTCTTCAGTTGACATATTCAATATTTCACGACCATTGAGAAATGCGAAATTTGAATTAAATGTAGTAGCGCTGTTTACCCTCGCTTTTAATTTCTGATAAGATTCAATCAAATACAATTTTCATTATTGCATTAGAAATAGCTGAGCAGGATGAAGTAGTTGTGATTCGTTCTCGTACAATTCATCAAACTGCTTTTTGCGCTTTAGAATTCGTTTATTTGTCAAAATAGGTTCAACCTCAATTTTTTCGGCTGCTGCTTTAGATCCTTCTATCCAATATGCCATAGGAATTTCTCTCATTTTTTGTAAAGTTTTGGTCAGATATTCCATAATTGCGATGGAACGCGCAAGAACAGTATCTTCCTTTTGAATTTCAATATTTATTCGATTGATTTCTCAAAAACTATTAACCCAAATTGTCAGGTTGATAATAAATTCAAATTTTTTAGAACATGTAGCAGATGTCTTGCTTAGTACTTTGATTCCGCACTAAAAGAAATATAATTAATTTTTTTCAAGGATTTTACTACTTCTGGTAAATTCGTTAGAAGAGCTCTCACAGCCCCATATTTTGCCGAACATCTCGTCTGGCTGCTTCCTTTTAAGTTGGTTTTTGTACATCTTTTCGTAATATCCCAATGAATAGTGGATCCGACAAAAAAGCTAAATATCTCCTGGATTGACCTCCCTCCTATTGACAGAACCTTGGAGAAGGAAATGGTTTCGCTATCATCAAAATGTTCCATGGCCATACATTTTCTACTTCTATCCGAGCAAGAAATTATGGAGCGAAAGTTTGTCGTATTGGCAAGTCAGATGGAAGCAACTCCTGAACTTGCGCAATAGATAATATTGTAGAATGTCTCGTAAAATTTTATAATTTATAGTGATAGGTATATCTAAAGATCGGACAATTCCCCTTTCACTACACGTTCCCATATCACTGCTTGTCTCTTCTTGCAGTATTATAGCCACATTTTCCACTAACCTCAAAGCAACTGCATTCCTCCCTCTGCAAAATCTCTCGCCATATGGATTGGTCTCTCCGAATTTACGAATCACCTTCCACAGACCCTACAGACACTGAACCAGAGCCGCATCTTATACTCATCAATGCCCGAAACTTCTTCAGAGTAGTTGACACACAGTCACATTCTTTTAAAAAGCGTCACAAGCAGAGCCCGATTCTTAATTTAATAGAGTCATTATGAGCTTCTCGGATACAGAATGATGGGAACTGCAAGCACCATTTGTTTTTATTATAAGCGTAATTGTGTGGTGGACATGTCAAGTAATTAGTATATTACTATGATTAGCAAGTAATTAGCATATTATTATGAGTGCAGCAATATATATTAATAAAATTTTGGACTTATTTTTTTTTCGTTTAACAAATTCCCATTGGTTTACATACGTTCAGGTCCAATTTCAAGTTATTCTGATATGCATTCCCCCCCTTTATTATCTGTGAGAAGCGGTGCGTCACCGGAATACCTTGCTGGAACAGCTAACCTTCACTGAAGAATATCCTTCGAAATCTGACACTGCAAAGTTACAGACTCTCGTTCGTTTTGATAGCATAAACTACGAGAATTCTACTTAATACTTAGCGACTCATATCTTGGAAATTGCCACAGGGACAGTGAAGGGTATGAAAGGACCCTTTTAGTTAACACAGATAAAGTTCAGAGAAGGAACATCTTCACTTTTAGAACCAGCCAGCATTTATTACTTAAATCAAAAAGTAAATTGAAATTAAAACTAAGTTAATCATAAGTTAGCCAAAAAGGCTACACAGAGAGAAAACGCGTGAGTTGGCTCAGTCCTAATATCGGCGTGAAAAGCCTAATGCAAAGACTAAAGCAATGCCGCAAATAAACTGCTCTGAAGAGAATCAAGTAGCAAGTTCAGCAAGTGGAACACACTCTGGTTCTATCAAATAAAACTTTCCTTTAAATACTATCTCTTTCTACCTTATTCCAATAAGCGCGAGATAGAAATTAGCATTTTGCCAGGAAATTGGAAAGCGAGAAAGATAGTAAAGATAAATTAACATAAAATGACTCTACAAGTTCCAGAAAAGATTAACAGTCCTTACTTAAGATGCTGATGTCTTGAAGAAATATAAATGATAATGCAGCTCACAAAGTAGAATTTGACAAACCAAGCACAGCGAAGCTAATTGGTGGACATAACACGTTTGCAGGTGAAAGAAAGTATGAAAGTAATAGGGCAAAAAATGTATGTGAAGCATAAAGCCATATCTAACCCGAGAAAATGCAAGAACACTAAATGCACACTTACCTAGAAGTAATACAATTTATAAAAAGTTGTCAGAATAAAGAGAAAAGTCATTAGCGAGAAGACATACACAAATCCCAACAATTTCCATTTTAACATAAGTTAGGGCTATTAAAAAATGTCCTCGAAAATGCTAAATACAATAAAAAGCTTATCAGTACGGGTGGGGGCACTACGAATTTCATTAACTGTAACCGAGAATTTCCTAATAATGTCAAGGATGGAAATCCAAGGAGGTTAGAATAGAAGGAGGGAGGGTTCGCAGTTTCCTCCACTATCGGGGAATGAAACTCCACCGAACAAGAGGTGTCCATGTTTGTAACTTCAAAACATTGCATTACGGCAGTGAAACATACGTGTTTTAAGCTGTTCCGTGCATGTATTTTCTACTAAAAATATGTAAAATTTATAATGAAATACTTCGCTATTGTTAATTTTTTTGTTTTAAAGTTATAAAGATGATATTGTGGTGTAGTGGCCGAAACCGCTATGCTAACCCTGGGTTGTGACATCAGGTTGAAAACAAAACACAGCATAATAAAATTTATGGAATTCTAAAAAAAAATGGCTACATACAATTCTGCAGATAAAAACCTATCTATCTCAAAAATCAAATTCTATACATTTTACGTGAGAGAGCAATTCGTGGCTCTCGAGCTTGAGCTTGCGTTTTTAACATTGCCAACGATTTAATTATTTTAATAAAGACTATTTTAACAACTATTGAAAACGTGTTTGTAAGTTTAAAAAAATAATAATTTTCAGCTTATTCTCACGAGACATCCCTGTCCATATTAATCTTCAGTCTCTTCTTCTTTTATGTGACCTTATCACAACTCCTCCCCTCATAAAGAAATTTTTCTTGACTATGGAAGGAAAAATTCTAAATACATTTCTCTGCTTTCAAAACACAAGTGGTAACCATTTAAGTGATAATAGAGAAACCCAGTTACATTACTCTGCACTTATTTTTAGATAACATAACCGCACAAATACATCAAAAATAATTTAAACTACTCCTAATGTGTGCCTTATAAAAAGCATATTCTTCAAATTTTACACAATGCTAATACTTAAGATAAAACATTTAATTCTAACCATTTTGAAAATGAAACACGCTATGCAAACAAATTTAAAACAAAAATATAATTCCAAAACGCTACAAAAATCATTTTTCAAACACCAGTTTACAGAACAAAAAGGATTGGTTCCTCCATATACTTCATATGCTAAAGTTCCTGCTCTCCGTAGATCTGATCTCGAATAATCAATCACTGAGATAGGACACGCTTCAACATTTACAATTTCTGGTGCCATGAATGCTATATTTCCAGCTTTCTCAGAATCATATGAATTGTAAACCATATAGAGGTCTTCATGACAACACCCAAAGACAGTTATTGCAAGTCTAGGAGAGGAGGGTGCATACTGGAAATCTAATAAAATATTGTAAGTCTTCAAATCCCGATGAGTAATATCATTTTGAAGCAAGTTTACTAGAGCTTCCAAAAGCTGAGTAAACAGTAGCAATGCTGTGTGACCAGAAACACCTATTCTTTTCAAATATTCTTTTAAATTGCAACTGCATCTCTCCATAACAAGAAATAGAGTGATATGTTTACCACATCCATCACTCAGAAGACGAACAGGAAGGTCTTGTGAATAGTTAGTGAAGGCACCAGGAAACAGAGGTGTTTGATCAGCAAAAGCAAAATACATTTCAAATATATTTGGATGAGGTCCCAATTTTCTTTTCCTGACTTTATGTTTTGTCAGTTCACCCAAAGAAAACTCGTCAATGGCTGGTAATCTCTCCTTATACATTGCACGCCATATAGCATATGCATTTGATTCAGCATTATAATTGAACATCATTTTTACAGCAAGGTTACTTGGAAGCAATTTCTCAGAAGAAAACGTCTTGATAGTGGTGGGTTTTTCGAATATCGAATTCTGCAGATATTGTGTTCCTTCAGTATGCGATATAATAAATTTTGTTTGGTGTTGAACATTATCATGAGTTTCTGTTGCTTGTGCTTCCGAGAATTCTGCTGGCGAAACATCCGCAAGGATAGCCCTTTCCTCTAAACTGATGTCTGGAATTTTAATGTTCTCCTCCGTATTACTGGTTAACCTCCTTTCTTCCGAATGCTCATTTTTAACGACCCTTTCAATGTCTATCTTTTTCTCTTCTTCCGATCTGGAATCTAAGTCTTCTGCACTCTCTCTCTCTAAACTCCTGCGCGCATGCACCTGACTACGAGTCTCCACAGCATTCAAGAGAACCGGTCGTTCCCTAATTTCCTCAATCAACTGTGCAGTTTTATTCCCTAACAAATAGTACTCTTTATCTAACTCTACCGGAGTAACCGCTGCCTTTGTGGTGACCACACCAAAATCACCTTCAATGGTGACTTTCGCCAAAGGTAAACATTTACACTCTGTGTCCAAAGGCTGTTTCACCCATACAGTTTCCCCTAGTAAGTCACTAGTATTAATCCAAGTACTATTACACAGATCTATACCAGCTCCAGTATCTCTCAGATATTCTCTCTCTATCCCATTAATTACTGCTTTCTTGAAATACGGCTCCAAAACATTTTCCTAAACTCTCCATTCCTAGATTATTCACCAGATTAGCCTTATTCTTTTCTAGCGATGGACAGTTAGGTCGGATATGTCCGTCCTTTCCACACTGGTAACACCTTATTTTCCGCTGTTTCTCGAAACCTGCTTCATTGAAAACTTGGTTTTTTTCAGAAGCCTCCACTTTTCTATACTCCTCTGATTTAATTCTTGATGACCACTATTTTTCTGATTATAACTACAGTTAGAATTTACATACGCTCTCTATCTTTTCTCAAATGATTTCTTTAACCCGCTCCGGTACTAACTTCCTCGTATCTCTTCGCAAAGCCTCATACTTGTCGCATTTCTCTGCTAAAATGGAAGCTGTTTTAAATTCTTCCCAATTGTCTAAGTAGTGCTCTCTTATTTCTAGAGGAACTCGCCCGCTTAATTTGCTCAGTGAGCATAAGTTCCTTAAGACTTTCAAAATCTTGAACTTTTACTGAATCCAACCAATTCTCTAAATACACTCTCAATTCATCACTAAATCCACCCCCATAGCATTCCGTTTTTTCTAGAATGTTCTTCAAATTTTGTTTTTAGTGCCCAAGAACTAAGCTTGAATCTCTGCATGAGTAATTTCTTAACATGCTGATAATCATCCCCTTATCCGGTGGTTCTTTCACTATTAACTGGGCTACATCGTAAGGGTAAAAAGGAATTAATTGTGAGACCCAATCAATCTCATTAACGTTCTCTTTTTGAGCTCGTTTCTCAAATAGCATAAAGAATAATGAAATATCTATATCACTCGGTTCAAAACGCGGTACTAGATCTTTCAAATTAACCTTTTTTTTCTCTAGATTGTTCAACTTTCGAAAACCGTGGATATAGTCTGAACCACATTCATCAGTTTTAACCTTTCCAATTCAAAAATCGCTCTCGTTCCCGTTCTGCTCTCTTGTTCAGGCTATTTCTTCTGCTTTTCTGCTCAGTCCGCAGCCCAAATTCCTTGCCGCGTATTCTTTCGCAGCTTCTTCTTCATAGTCATCGGCATTTAGAATAGTCTGCATAATTTCTCTTAGTCTATTTGCCTGAGACAACATTTGTTTCAAACTCCTCCGCTAACTCCAATAGCAGATTTAGTAAATTTCCTCATAAACTCACCCATTACGGAAAATTAAAGAAAAATAACCTACCCCGAAAAACAATAACACAAAAACAACAACAGGTCTGTCTCTCCAAAACTGAATAATAGCCTAACAATTCTGAACGTTAATTGCCTTACAACACTTAAATGATAATACCTATGCCTACATACAAAACAGCGTATATAAAAAAATGCTAATTAAGAGGCAAACCTTTTCCTGCTCTATATCCAAAATAAGCCCTAGTCTCGAATAACTGGCATAACTTCTCCAAAATCACAAAAATGGAACTCACCAGTTTTGAAGACGCCTTCGATTGACTCTCCTGGCACTACTTGGATATTCTTCCGGGAAATTTCACTATTTTGCGGCACTAGATCACGCTTCCTCCGGCGTTCCCTTCTGACACACTGTCACTTGTCACTGAAGAGGCTTCACCACGAGAACTGTCCTTGCACGCAAAACTAGATCGTTCTTGAAGAGAAGAAAGTCTTTACTGTTCACATAAAACTCAAGTTCACAGGCGAAAAAGTCTGTTCCTAAATTTGCTCTCAGGAACAGTCCCTAAAAGCTGCCACCAACTTTTAATATTACTGCTGTGGTGGTAGTGGCCGAAAACCGCTATGCTAACCTGGGTTGTGACATCAGGTGAAAACAAACACAGCATAATAAATTTATTGAATGCTAAAAAAATGGCTACATACAATTCTGCAGAGAAAAACCTATCTATCAAAAAATCAAATTTTATACATTTTACGTTGCGAGAGCAATTCGTGGTCTCGAGCTTGCGTTTTTAACATGCCAACGATTTAATATTTTAATAAAGACTATTTAAAACTATTGAAAAACGGGTTTGTAAGTTAAAAAAATAATATTTTCGGCTTATTCTCACGAGACATCCTTGTCCATATTAATCTTCAGTCTCTTCTTCTTTTATGTGACCTTATCACAATATCCTTTGATGCTAGTACAGAAAATCATTAAGAAGTAGTTCGAAATCTAAATGCATGTGCATAACATTAAAGCCTTTAAAAATAATGTTTCTGCATATTTCAAGAATTTGTTTAGGTTTTATCTATTTTTCCTTTAAGAATTAATATTTCTGATTTATTCACAATATTGTAATTTATTAAAGAATCATTTCAAATAATTTTAACTTGAAAAATTAACAGCAGATAATTATCTAAAAAAATAGTCACAGGTTGCAATTTTTTAAATGAAAGTTTTAAATAGATTCTTTTCACAATCAACAACCTTATAACAACAAGAAAATAAATATTAATAAAATAAAACAGATTTATGTGAATTAAGTTTTTGCGCGTTTCATATTTATGAATCTCAAAGAATTCTGTAATTCAGCCTTGAATTAAGCTGAATTACAGAAATGTACCCTATACCTATATTTTTGGATACATCTTTCCACATGTTTAGTAGTGTAAATATTTTACTTACTTTTATCGCTATACTGCTCACAAATTTGTAAATTTATGCAAAAAAAAATTTAACAACAGAAAAGATATTTTATCGTGATCAAATGCATAAATTATATTCCTAACAGTTCACAAAACTTAAAGATAAATAATAATTTATACATAATGAAAAGCATTACTTTATTTAACACCTTTACAACTCATAAATATAGTAACGATTGGTGTCTTAATTTTTTTGAAAATTATCAAACGAATTACCTAAAACGTTCAAATTATACAGTTTAAATCCTAGCATACATCATTGTATGTTAAGCAACAAAAATGCCAGCTATAAACAGAAACATTAAAATGTATATAACATATTTTGAATTATTATTAAGTCTTTTTTCCCATCTGGGAAAGAAAACAACATGACATTGTGATATTTTTTACCATAGTTATCAAATTACATAAAAAAAAAAAAAAAAAAGGAAACAATACTTACGTGTGAAAAGTAATCCCAGGAACTTTCTTCGAAAATCTGTTTGTGCATCATACAACACAGGACATGCTTCAATACAGACTTCCTTGTACAAGTCACAGCGATAACAGGAACATAGCCGCCAAGCTTCACCGTTTGAGTTGAACCTTCCTTCCTTCTATTCAAGCCTCCTTGGAAAAATCTGAGAAAATGTTATTTATTTCTTTGACAATCCTGAGAAAGTCAGTGAAGGTGCCTGTAATTTTGGAGCTATTTTCGTTAATTTTTAGTTGCTTTTAAGTTAGCACGTATGGCTGGTTATTAGTTCTGGAGGGACATACTGAGATTCCTTAACTCGGCAGGAAATCGAAAATCCTGGATATTGTGATTTGGTAACTGGTTTGGGTGAAGTAGCTGAAGATACAATAGTGGAATTTATGGAGACTTCAGGGCCGTCCAGACGGTACAGTGGGAGCCTACTGGGATAATTTCCATTTCACATAAGTTAGGACTGTTAAAAATGTCAAAAATGCGATAGTCCGCGGACCACAAGTGGTATTCGAAGTCTACAATCTTGGTCCTCTTACATTTGCAAAAATGTCCTGTTCTTGTAATTGAAATCAACATGATTTCAGTAATTTCTTGCTGATGGCAGGAGGTTAAGTACCTGGCACACCATTCAGATTTAATCTCAAAACCAAATGTATGTGTGTGCGTGATTATGGCAAAGCCTCGAGGGCTATCTGCCTAAGGGGAGGGATGCTTTCGTGGAGGACTTTCTAAGGGAAACTGGCTCGTATACACGTTACACATGGGGAAAACCACGAAAACGCCCATGCAGCCAGCCCGTTCGCGGGATTCGAACCTCGGACCGAACTACCAGTATTCAGCGACTTTACCGCTCGGCCGCTGGTGGGCCTCAGAACTAAATGAGCTAAATCTATATTTACAAGGTAACTCTTTGACCGTTCTCAAGGCCTATGAGAAATTAGAGTTTGAAAGAAAACTTGGTTTATGGGTAGTTGTGTAAAACGGATAATTTTTCCCCATTTCTAACCTTAGAAACATTTTTAGTAGAAAATTATATTGTCACTGGAAAATAATTATGAATGACATATGTTTGGACGTTGAAATTCTGCGCTCACAGTTTGAAACTTATTTTCGAAGTGGTAAATATAACGAATTTCTATTGTTCTTCATTCTGTCCATTGCGATTTT